TCTTCTCTCTCTGTTGTTTCCAACAGTCTTGTTTACTTCCAAGGCATCAGATACATGCTCTCTGTGAACGACTCCCAAATGTGAACCTCCTGCCCTGACCTGGTTTCTAAGCCTTCATATCTTAACTGCCTACAGGATATTTCTACTTGGATGGCCTACTGGGACCACACATTAAAAGGTCCCAACCAGAGCTCATTACTTTCCCCCCTAACTCTTCTTCTCATTTTACTATTTGGTTTGTGTACTGCCATTCAACCGGTCTCCTATGCTCATGATCTTGGGGTTGTCTCTGACTCCTCTCTCATATTTATTAGCAGAAATTGTCCATTCTACTTCTTTATTATCTCTCATATTCATCCCTTCCTTTCTATTCCCACAGCCATTGCCCTAATATCAGTTCTCATTGTCAATAAAACCCCAAGTACTTATTAAGCGCCTACTATGTGCTACAAATAATATGCCCAGTTGGACTATTGCAATAGAATCCTTCTAGGCTTTTCCTTTTCCATTCTTTCTTCTTATTATCTGTCCTTGCTAACATTTTCAGAATATATTTTCTTGTATATAGCTCTAGTAATGACACTATTCTGTTCAAAAATCTGTGGCTCATCATTGCCTTCAGGAAAAGTTCAAACTCCTCTTCCTGGGATTCGATGTCTTCCATGGCCTGGTACCACCCAGTCCTTTTACTCCCCTTCATGGGAAGACACTATGAGTCAGGAAGACTTAAGCTCAAATACGGCTTCAGAAACTTACTAGTTTTGTGACCTTGGGCAAGCCTCTGTGAACCTATTTCCTCAACTGTAAAATGGGGATAATAATAAAGCATATACCTCCCAGGGTAGTTGTAAGGATCAAATGAGATAATATTTGTAAAGTTCTTAGCATAGTGCCTTGCACATAGTAGGTACTTAATAAATGCTTGTTTCCTTCTCTCTCTCTCTTTTTTTTTCATGTACTCTATGTTCTAGTCAGACTGTTCCCTGAATATAAAATGTGCTCTTACACTGCCACGCCTTTGCTCAGGTAATACCTATTCCTGGATTACCCTTCCTTCTCTCTCTGCCTGTTAAATTCCTATCCACCCTTTAAAGCGTAACTCAAGTGTCGTATCTCCTTCAACCCTTTCAGGAAGTTTTATTTGAGCCTTCCACTTGGTAGAGCATTACCTTCTAACACTTCACAAGGGACTTTGTTTTGTTGCATTTATCATGGGATTATCATATACTTATTAGGCCTCTGAGGGCAGGGACTTTGTTTTAGCTAAACGTTTTATCTGTTCCATTACCTAGCACAGTGCTTGGTACACAGTAGGTGCTTCGTAAATGTTTGTCATTGATTTACATGTGCCTAGCCTTTTAAAGCTCTAACTATTGGAGCTTAATTATTTTCCACCACTGTCTACTGGCTGCCTGGGCCCTCGAAATATAGGGCACACGGAGTCCCAAGACCTGGGATCTGGTGTTAATTATTAATAAAGGCTTCATTAATTCATTAACTCATTCATACATTCATTCACCAGTTATACGACCTTGAAGAAGTCCCTTGGCCTTTCTGGGCCTAGTTTCTTCATTGATAAAGAACTGGAATAGATGATCACTAAGGCTCTTTTTTACTTTGTGACTACATATAGTTCTATGAATTCATCAGACCTTAGGGATTTCTCATTCCTGAGTCAATAAGAAAAGATCAACTATGATCAATATACTCTTTACTGAGGCAAGAAACCATGTATACACAGATATTTTTCTGATACAACATATATATGTTATGTATGTATACCAATAATACATACATGTGTAATGTGTATTTGCATATATATGTATACATACATTCACATGCATGTTATTAGCCAGTAAAATTTTCCCTAGTTTTTTTTTTTTTATATAAGTGTAGGAACTCCCTCCTTTGAGGCAGGCAGGTAGGTAAGTAGGTACATAGGTAGGTAGGTAGATAAGTTTCTCTGAAACTTTCCTTTTGTAATTTCTTATGGCACAATAATATTCCATTACATTCATACACCATAATTTGTTTACCGATTCCCCAACTGATTAGCACGTCCTTACTTTCTAGTTCTTTGTCACTACAAAAAGAGCTACTACAAATATTTTTGTACATATGGGTTCTTTTCCCCCTCCATGGCTCTCTTTGAGGTATAGTAGTGGTAGTGCTGAGGCAAAGGGTATATACAGTTCAGTAACTTTTGGGGCATGGTTTCAAATTGCTTTCCAGAAAGGTTGGACCAATTTGTAGCTCTAATGGAGCTTATATTCTAATGGAAAAAGACAATACACAGAGGCAATTTGGAAATGGGGAGCGGGGAGAGTAGGTGAGGAGTGTATTGCATAGTAAGAGCCAGGAAGTAGTATAGTGGAGGACTGGATCAGGGCAATAAAAGATCAAAGGTGGCCTATCAGAGCCCAGGGTAGTTCAAAGGTAAAAGACCAAGGTTCCAATGGGAAAGAGGTAGATATCATGGGGGTAGCACAGGGAGATGTCCCAGGATTGCAGTAGAGCCTTGGATCCAAGCAAGACAAGACAAAAGATTCTTTCTAGCTATTAATGTATGAACTTATGAACTCTTTAGGTCAGCTAGATGGCACAGTAGATAGAACACTGGGCCTGGAGTCAGGAAAACCTGAGTTCAAATCTGGCCTCAGACCCTTACTAGCTATGTGACTCTGGGCAAGTCACTTAACCCTGTTTGCCTCAGTTTCCTCATTTGTAAAATGAGCTGAAGAAGAAAATAATAAACCACTCTAGTATCTTTGTGAAGAAAACCCTAAATGGGGTCCCTAAGATTTGGACATGATTAAAATACCTGAACAACAAATGAACTCTTTGATAGTTGCCTGAGGCTCAGAGGGGTTACAGAACTTGTCCATGACCTCATAGCTCACATATGTCAAGAGAAAGGATTTGACCCTAGGTCTTCCTGACTCTAGGTCTACCACTCTACCCCCTACAGCATGTTGCCTGCCTGTAGCCTAAGTAGATATATACAGAACTTACATTGTTGGTAATATTTTATATTTTAATTAAAATTCATTTAGACCTATACCTGGATTTTTTTTTTTTTTGCTTAACCTAGTTTCTTTTAAAACCAAGTCTGTGGAGCAGTGCTCATTTACATGATGTATTCTAATCCATTTATTTCTATTATTGCTATCCAGATGGATTATAACATTAACAGATGGATAGTGTCATGGAATATTAAAGACCCATAGAAAGACCTCAAGCCTGCTGGGTAGATCCTTGGGGAGGATGTGGACAAGAAGGGCTTAGGACAAGAAGGTGTGGATAAGTTGTCATCTGCACTGTTGAAATGAGTAGCCATATCTGTGAGATCACGGATTGATCGAACTATTGGAATATTGAAATTTTACTATTTGATGGAAAGTGACATAATGAGCCCAAATGGCAGAGAATCTCCAAATCACTTATACTTGTTTTAACAATGGGTTTTTAATTTTCATTTTAATATATTCATATCTAGTATTCTGAGAATTAAAAAACCTTAAATAGTAATAATAGCTAGCATTTTGTGGAACTTTTAGGTTTACAAAGTGCTTTACATGTTAACTCATTTGATCTTCCCTACAACCCTATAAAAGATAAGTACTACTTTTATCCTCATTTTACAGATGAGAAAACTGAGATAGAGGTTAAATTAATTGCCCAAGCTCACACAGCCACTCTGTGTCTTAGGCAAGATTCAAATGCAGGTCCTCCTGTGTCTAAGTTCCACATTCTAACCACCTTCTTGCCTACACAGTGATCTCCCTTTGGAAGAGTCAGAAAGTGACCTAACTTCTCTAGCCTGCCCCATTGTATATTCAGTGACCAGAATTTCATCCAATTCATTTCAACAGAAATTTATCATATGCTTCCTCCTATATGCTTTTTTGCAGATGTAGGGCCTTGCTCTATCTCAACATATTGAAAGGATCACAACTGTAGATTCAGAAAATGGACAGCATCATGGAATCATATATTAAGACCTGGAAAAGGTCATTAAGTCCAATCTCTTTAGTTTACAGAGAAGTAAAACTGAGGCCCAAAGAGGTTAAGTGACTTGCTCAGGGTCTCGTATGTTGAAATGCTTGACTCTCCCTCAAGATTCAGTTCAAATGCCACTTACTCCATGAAGTCTTCCCTAATTTCACCTCCATTGGAAATATTTTTTCTTCCTCATTTTTTAGATACCATATCTGATAGATAGATAGATAGATATTAATAAATAGATATCAGAGCTATCTCTGCATGCATTATATATCTTCCCCGTTAGATGGCAGAGATAATGTTTCATTTCTTTTTGTATCTCTTCCAGTACCTAGCACCATGTCCCACACATAATAGGGGCTTAATAAATATTTGCTGAGTTTTGACTATGTGCTTACTCTACTATTTAAAAAGAAAAATCCTTGAAATGCAGTTCCTTGGAATTAGGGACTATTTCATTTTTATTCACATGTATTTATTTCAAATATGTTTATAATACATTTATTCAAATATATTTATATATGTTTATTCATATGTAGTCCCAGTACCTGGCAAATGATAGATGCTTAATATATGTTTATTTGTGGATTGATTAATTGATTGATAATCCAGGAAGGTCTATCTATACTGAAACTCAGTAGTTTCAAAAGTTTCAAAGCTACCGTTTGTCAGGTTCCGTTGGAAGGGAAGAAAATGATGCTCTGCTCCTTGCTGATTTGGATATTGCTTCTTTGACACACTCCCCACAGGCTGTCAGAGCCATGTACCATCTCAGAACAATTTGTTCACTTCGCTCAGAAATTACAAATGTGTTTTGTCCAATAAATCTAAATATATTTTGTAGTAGTCATTTTTCTTAATGGAAGTGTTTTCCAGATGTTGCCCAAGTCTAGTCATCTGGGCTCCCTTCCAATAAATGTGTAAAGTTTGTTTTAATAGGTTGTTGCTGTTGCTTTGGTCTAACCTTTGGACTAATTGGTTCATCCCAATATGTTTGCACCAATATATAAAGCATCCAGGACATCAGAGATACACACATGTCCCTTGCCCGGTAAGTAAAGAAGTCATTTCGCTTTTTTTGTTGAGTTCTGATTATTTCAGCTCAGAAAGTAGATGCTTTATTGAAGGTTTTTGGATAATTTTAATAGAAATAGTAGTTCAGAAGTTTAGAAGTTTTCTAGGGAACCACTTTGTGGTATTCATTTCCTGAAGGTTTTTTTTTTAAAATATTAAATAGAATGTTTAAAAAAAAAACAACTTGGGATGGTAAAATCCTCTGTATTTATTGTACTAAATTTTCTTGAAACCATTTACTCATTTTTTTATCCAATGACAATGTTTAATAATTCTTAAGAACATTTTAAAATTTAAGTCTGGACTCACTCTAGTAACAAAATAAAATATTTTTAATCATTAAGTCATTTGGAAATGATTGAGGACAAGTTATATTGAGATTGCAATTTAGAGTTTTTATATTTGTGATTTGAGGATAACAGTACCAAATTTGATTATTTTGATATGATAGTCTCATAATGATAATAGCTTGACAATAACATTATTTTCATCCTATTTAACCTAACAACACTAGAATAATTATAGTATAGTATTGTAAAATTAGATATGCTCATCTCTTTCAAAAAATATAATTATTTTTAAATGTCCATGATGACATATCTAAAGTCTTACAGCTTTACAGTGAAATGGCTTTTTAAAATGACTGAAGTCTTCACCTCAGAAGCAGGTTAATAGTTCTTCAAGCTAGCCATTTAATACTTTGGTATTGCTTTTCAGAGAAGATTCAATACCTGAAAACAGCCATGGAGTGGAAAGTGCTTCCTATTCACCTGTTGGTGTTTTGTCTTTTTTTGATACAAGTTTCTTCTCAAGGTACCTTAACCAACAAAATTCTGAAATGGTGTTTCCTTCTTGGCCTGAATCATTTATATGGGGGGTTTCCATTTAAAAATTATTGCATACTATTTTGTTATCAATATTGTGAAAACAAAATTTACCATTTAAAAATTGTTAATTTTTTTTAGCACCCTATAAACCTTCAGAACCGTGTAAAAAGAATATACAAGCATATGTTTTGGGGAGGGGACAGGAGGAAGGAGAAGGTACTCCCTTTTCCTCTATATTTTATGTGAAGTGAATATCTTTATCATGTTTTATTCCCCAGAAAACATTTCAAGATATTTTATCAGCGTATATACAGGGTAAGAGGCAGCATGACTTATTAGACAGATGACAGGCTTTAGAATCAAGAATAACTGAATTCAAGTCCTATTTACCATACAGTGGTTGTAAGATCACGAGTAAATAATTTTTACATGCTCCAGACAATTCCCTAGGACTGTAGGTGGGATACCAACCTGGGTAAATGGAATGGGTTGCCATGCCAGAACTTCATCACACTATAAAATCACACCCTCACTAAAAAAAAAAAAAGTATGAGTTAAAGTTATTTAAGGATTAAATTAAATTAACCCTTCTTTCCTACTGTGTGGGTTAAAAAACATAGCCCTACCAACTACTTGGAAGAAGTGGTTTGTATGTTATGGAAACAAGAAATGTCATGGAAACAATTGATTATATAAGTGAAAAATTAAGTTGATTATTTTTGGCCAACATAATGGCAAAAGAGTTTGATGAATCTTTTTGTTGAATTAACTAAATTGACTCATTGTTTTGCCATCAAGTAGACTTGGTTTCAGTTTGGGAAAGTGTTGCAAATGATCATTCTTCTTTTTTTTCTTTTTTCTTTTTCTGTGTGTGTGTGTGAGGCAATTGGGGTTAAGTGCCTTGCCTAGAGTCACGCAGCTAGTGGGTGTTATGTGTCTGAGGCTGGATTTGAACTCAGGTATTCCTGACTTCAGGGCCAGTGCTCTATCCACTGCGTCACCTAGCTGCCACGATCATTATTCTTCTAATGAGATAGCACTGATTTTTAAAAAATATATATCATAGACTAGAGATGGAAGGAATTTCAGAGGTCATCAAGCCCAACCTCTTGATTTTATAGATGAGGAAACTGAGGCTCAATGAGTGGTTTACCCAGGATAATAAGTTATAGGAATAGATTTTGGACCCAGGTTTTCAGACTCCAAATCCAATGTCCTAAGTGTCATTGGGATGAATCTGTATCTGCACGCTTTTTTGATGGAGGGTTCTAGATCTGGTTCCATACCTTTCTTCATCTATCTGTAATTTATAGTCTTAGAGAATTACCTGGAGCATTGAAAGATTAAGTGACTTGCCCTGAAACCCTCAAACCTCTGCCTCTAAGCACTGTACTTTGTCTACTCTGCCACATTTCCTCTGATCTGGATAAATATTACATAGTATTCAGTGTATAAAAAACATATCTTAATGTATACGTAGATTGGGTCTGCTTTAACAAAAAGGCTCAAGTATGTGATTTGTTTTTATCAGACTCTTAAAACTATCAGACTGTTGGGAATTGACTGTTCCCTCCAAGGCAAACAATCTCAGAAAAAAAAATTGAGATTGGGAATGATGTAGCGAGATTAAATTCTTAATGTTGGAATGTTATGGTAAATAACTATAAACAGCTGAATCCTGATTGTCAAAATGGGAATGCAGACTGCCTATTCTAGATATTGTCTCAATGATGTTCTTAGATTGATGAAAGCAGATATGAAATACTAAAAATGTGAAGTTGAGCAGCTCATGTAGGTGAACCTTTCCGTGCCATGAAAATAAAATGAGAAGCCTCTTAACTGTTGTACAGTGACAACTTAATACTAATTTTCACATACATTTCCAATGTGGCAAATGCTTCCTTCCTTCACCGCACTTTACTTTGCCATGATTAAACTAAAAAAAAACAAAAAAACAAAACTAATGTGATTAATCAATAATAACATAGAAAGGTAGGACACATTTCCTTTTTGAGGATTGTAGCTTGCCTACCAAGCTAATTTTTCACCTGTTTCAAAAATCCACCACCCACAAATTTGTATGAATCCTTTGATTTTGTCCTGTCTGCTGCACTCTCGCCTTCTTTTTAAACGCTTTTCGCTCCTCCCCTTCATATATGTACATGCATATGTACAAATGTGTAGGCATATGCTTATGAACGCACGTGTTTGCCTAAAAGGCCGAAATTCATCCTAATCTTCCATGTGATGTTTGTGGATTTTGCTATTGGTGTTCTGGGTTCACTACCTTGATTCTTTTTCAGCATGTTTCAGTCTCCCTCTATAGATCAAGGATAATTTTTTTATTCTAGCAGATAAAAGTGACTATTGCATAACCATGGCTGTGTGTCTCAAGGAGATTACTAAGAGGTTTTTCTCCTGTTTGCCGCTTGATCATCGGAAGACAATTGTGCTTCTATGTTTTGGTTTCGTTGCCTTGTGTAGTTCTATTTGTTACCTTTACTCTCATGTGGAGCTGTTCTTGTTGGAATTTGGTTATTCCTCAGCCACTTGACCTCTGGGTGTGAGCAATTGACTGCCCAGAACCTTAAAGAGTGCAGTTCCCCACCCCAAGCCCATCTTGTAGTAGCAGTTGCTGGGGTGGGTCTGCTGGTATGGCCAGCAAATATTTACATGGGAACCAAAAAAAAAGGACTTTTTCCAATCCTGATGTAGGAACTGATGTTGGTCATGATGGCTGTGGCATAGAACCCCATAAGTTTCTTTTTATACAAAACTATTGAAATGCTTAATGAACGTATTCTCTCATTCCTAAGAATGTGACTACTTTCCTCCATATATTGGGATCCTTGGAAGGAGAAAGTGGTATCATTGTCAGACAATGGAATAGTAATCATAAACTTTTCCTACAGTATATTTTCCTCTTTCAATCCAGTGGGCACATAGCAAAATTTGCCCATTGCCCTATGCCCTATGCCTCCCTCCTACCCTTTTTTTTTTTTTTTGGCCATTCGATGTTTCCCTTGGTATCAAATCAGCTGGTTTGGTCATGTTTACACTAGTATTGTGTAATTTTAGATTTACCAAGCTGTGCAGGGAGATGTGGGGAAGGGTATACTAGAGATGCCGCCTGCAACTGTGATTATAACTGTCAATACTACATGGAGTGCTGTCCTGATTACAAGAAAGTCTGCACTGTGGGTAAGTTTTTAAGCCCAACAGGACCTCTGGAAAGGAGCACTGTTTCCTGAGATCCCTCCCTGTGGCCCTAGTCATCTTGTTATTTTTAAATGGGCTTCTGTGTTTCATTTCACTGTTGTGTGTCTTTCCCTAACCTTGCATAAATGTTGCATTGTTGTATCTGAACATAGACAAAATAACTGACTCTTGTATAGAGTCCTGTGAAGTCAACACCCAACTCCCTCCTCCCCAAAGTCCTGTTCTAGATGTGGATAGCAGAGTGTGTATGGCTACAGTTCTCTTTGTTACATATAGAAAGGTTTCGATTGATAATCATTTTTAAAATTTAAATGTTTCATTACTTCATGGTAGGGCCTAATCGACATTCATGTAAAGTATACATTATTCAAATGTTTAATATTAGCCATCAGATTCCTAAAGAACATTAAACTATAAACAAGATGGTACTCAAAGTGGAATTTCAATTAAAGTTGAGATCTCAGAAGCAATTAAGTTGGAAGCCAACAGTGGGTAACATTGCTCCAACTCAAAATTAATTTTAAACCATTTTGTCTTTAATACAAGACCAATTTCATATTCAATATAGGGAAATCATTATTGTAACTTTTTAAAGTAACACTTGGTTTTGAACTTAAATGTAAAAACTAAATTACAAAGTAGTTCAACAAGAATATGATTTTAAATGGACCCTAATTAATTCAATGTTCCTTTAAACAAGGATGATTTAAAATGGTAAAAGAAAAAAAAACTATGTAAATAGTCCATGCTACGTAATTAAATCACAACTATTCAAATTTATTGACATGCCACATTCATTCCTGATGATACTTATTAAATCCTATTATGATGAATACCATTGCCACAGAAGTCCTTCCTATATAGCATGAGGTCTCTAAATCTAAACCAAAAGCCACTCGTATAAAGTAATATTTGATGTTATATAATTCCATTACAATAATTGAGGCAAATCCTTAGAGTTATTATAATGGAATTTGACTTCTAGTAGACATAAAACTTAGTGGTAGGACCACTGTAAGGAGGAGGTAGTGAAGGAGGAAAATTTCACTTGGATAGCATCCTACACAATGGTGTCAAATTCAAACAGAAATGGTCCACTAATCTGTACATAAAGATCTCTGCAGGCCACATATTGGCTTAAAATGCTTTAAGTTTTAAAATATAATATTATCTATGTTTTATTATATTTTTATTTGTTTTGTTAAGGATTTTACAATTACATTTTAATCTGATACAGGCTGCACTTGGAGTTTGGTGGGCCACACGTGGCCCTGCAGCCACATGTCTGAAACCTGTGTCCTACAATACAGGCATTCCTGATTTACAAAGCACCTGAAAACATCCTTTACATCCAAACAGCTGGTCTAAGTCACACCAGAAACAGAGTGAGACTCCCCTAGAATCTCCAGAGAGTAGAAAATGTTAATTTTTCCAATGTACTTTATGTGGTTATCACTATGACCATTAAGAGAGTAGACAGAAGAGATAGAGGAGACATGTTTCTGGTACTTCCTGAGCTTCACCTAAGCAGACCTTTCCATAGGAACAAAGGTATTAATAGTGGTTGTGTTCCAAGGGCAGTCCCCAATTATCTATTTGAGCCATATCTGTGAACTATGGGATTACTTATGCATTCAGGTTAAATTTCACAGAACGATAGGATTTTACATTTAAAGCTGAAAGTGATCTCAGAAGCCATGTGGTTCAACCTCCTCATTTTATAGATGAGGAAATTGAGTCTTAGAGACTTGCCTAAGGTTGTTGTTTGTCCTTCCTTCTGGAAGAGGACCAGTGACATCAGGAAGGTGGTGTCTTGACTTGCAAGTGAATTGGATTTAAATGAGGCAGAGCTGTAAAAAGTCATCAGACTCACTCTCTCCTTCAAGGTCATCTGAGTCCAGTAGCAAGACATAGGTCAGGATGACTGGAGATGATCCCAGATGCAGTGGGAAAACTTGGCCTTTTTAAGCTAAAGTCTTTCCTGGGTCTCAGTTTATCTGAGGCAACACCCATTCAATGATTTAAAGCTAGGTAAGAAATAAGACAAAAGATGGCCTACTTTGTCTACTGAAAAAAATAACAATTAAACTGGGAGTGGAAAACTGTTAGGGTTTCTTTTCAAGACAGAAACAATTGCCTATGGTCACACAAGTGGTAAATGGAAAAAACAGGATGAGCCATTACTCTTTCCATCATACAAAATGGTTCCTTTCAACATAAATTATATAGGCTTTTGTGGGCAAGCCTGGGAACTTAGCCATCATTCATACAACATTGCTTCTATGGGAAAATGCTTCCAAAGTTACAAATAAGAAATATGTAAATTTACTCTAGAATACAACCTGTCTACAAGTTGTGGAATGCCTCCATGTGTGGCACAATATGAACAGAATTTCATATTTATCTATCTACACACACACACACACACACACACACACACACACACACACACACACAAACATGTATAATTTCTTTTTACATTTTGCTCTGGGTAGAGCTTTCCTGTAAAGGCCGTTGCTTTGAGTCATTTGCAAGAGGAAGAGAATGTGACTGCGATGCTGCCTGTAAGAAGTATGGCAAATGCTGTCCAGATTATGAGGACTTCTGTGAAGAAGGTAAGTGTTGGCCGCAGTTTCAGTCAAAGGCTTCCTCCAACATTTGTTCATCTTTGCATCTCATTGTATACTGAATTTTTAGCCTGGCTATGGTTATTAATCAGTTACCTCAGTTAAGGCAGCCTAAAATTGATCACTTCAAGGCCATACTCCAACCAACTATATTATCCAGTGGGAATTTTCTTTCACAAAGAGAAATTTGAAGAGAAAAATAGTTTGCTATTATTATATAACTTCATCAGTATACTATATAAATAGTATACTAGTGATGGTATATATGAAATAGTTACTAATGAAATAACAGGTCCAGTCCCCACCCCTAACCTTACTAAAACCCACTAAGGGTTTTGCTTAGGATGGAAGAATAATAATGATAACAAAAACCTTAAATCCCTGATTATGTCTCTTGCCAAGCTATTACTTGCAAAATCCTTTTCGTGAAAACAAGATAGTTTTGGGAAGTGAATAAAAAACACTTGTACAATCTTATCGTTTTCTTTTTCCCTAAACATTCTTGAAACATCTGATAAGGGTGATCCGGATTCTTTGGAGGAGAGGAGAAAGATAGGGAAACTGCTAAGGCAGCAGAGTCCACGGGGAGATATTAACTGCTCAGTGCTTTAATTGGAGCATATCCCAAAAATGAAGGAGACAACACCCTCCTAATTAAACACTTTAGCTCAGAGCCCATGCGGCTATCAGAAGAACAGAGGGTGAGGAAGACAAACCTCACTCAGACCACTGGCATTTGTTTTGGCTGTTCGTCATACAAGATGAGGAGAGGGAAGGGAGATGGTGGCGGTGGTAACGAGGGGATGTAAAGAAATAAACATTACAGAGAAAAATATCTCATAAATATAAATTTTTTTTTTGTCTAAACCTGTGATTTTTTTGGGGGGTGTATCAGGGAACTCTCATTGTGGGAAAATGTCTACTGAAGATGAGCAACTCATATTTAAAATCATCTGAGAAGGTTGCCTGAAGGCCTTGTGAGATTTAGTGATTTTCCCATGATTACACAGCTAATATATGTGAGAAGCAAAACTTGAACCCAGACCTTCCTGTCTCCAAAGCCAGCCCTCTATCTGCTGTACCATGTTGTCAAATGCTTAGTCTAATCACCTTTATTCAAGGCAGAATACAATGCAGAAGGATAAATGGTTAATATTCTCAGTTGCCTAGCTTGTCGGTCTCATAGAGATATGCAGTGTCCTAACTAAAGAGAAGGATATGTGTGTGTATATGGGAAGGAGAGGGGATGTCAGTGTAGGGTTTACATAAACTTGGGAAAGTACTTTTTTCTGATAATAGAGACTGATTGCTGTGTTGTGACAGGGTTGCTAAAAACACGGCCAGGAGGGATCTCTTCAAGAAGCAAAGAAAAGGATTAAAGAATATTCATGAAATCCTTTGGCATCAAATATCATTAAAACCAACATTTCTGTAGGGCCCAAAGATTTGCCAGACTCAGTCAATAGCACACTCATTTCAAGTAATGTTAGTTACAATGGAAATACAATACATCTGCAGATTTTGGACAGCCATTTGTTTATCTTAGAAAGATTTGACCTTGGGGCAGCTAGGTGGCGCAGTGGATAGAGCACCAGCCCTGAAGTCAGGAGGACCTGAGTTCAAATTCGGCCTCCAACCAAACACTTGACACTTACTAGCTGTGTGACCCTGGGCAAGTCACTTACCCCCAATTGCCTAAAAAAAAAAAAAAAAAAAAAAAAAAGGAAAGATTTGACCCATAGCTAACATTCCATTTTTTTTCTTCGTCACTAAGAGGGGAGCCTTTTAGCATAGTGTTCAGATCCACTTATCATAAAGAAAGGTGGTTGTAGTTACAATTCTTTAAAAAGAAAGAAATTGTAAGCAGATACTGATTTCTCTTAAATACTTCCCTGCCCACATGGCTCTTTGGCAGTGTTTCTAACAATTGTTATTGCTGGCATTTCTGAACTGATCTCTTGCAGAGACTATTGTAACTTAGCTTTGAATGGCTGTTCGTTGATGGAAGCAGTGGTTTTTGATAATGCAGGCTATTCTTGGTATAGAATCCCAATTTTTCTTCTTTTTCACCGCTAGTCACTTTTCCTCATTATCCCAGTTTCATATTTTCTTCAGGGTCTTATTTCTTGGGTTAAAAAAAATAGCAGAAAAAATATTATCATGTGTGTTTTCTAGACAGCTTGGAAATCCTACCACCCCTTTATTGTGAGTGATGGGCGAAAGGGTGATGTTCATGGGATCATAGGATTTAGTACTGGAAGCAACTTTATAGATCATTTACTATGTGAGAGGCATGATAAACTCAGAAATGGAAAGATCTTAGACATGATCCAGTCCAATCTCTTCATTGAGCAGGTGGGAGGACCAAGGCTCAGCAATTTGTTCCAGCTTCTACAACTAGGTAATGACAGAGTGAAAATGAGTATACTCACTTCTTCACTCAGTCCAGTGTTTTCCTCACCAATTTAGTTATCATAGCATCATAGATCCAAATTTGGAAGAGTCCTTAGATTCCCTCTAGACCAGTCCTCTAATTCTACATATGAGTAAACTGAGGCTCAGTGAAGTGACTCATGCAGAATCACGCAGGTGGCAAGTACATGGAAGAGCTGGCATTCTAACTCAGATCCCGAGACTTCCAAGTTCATGGCTTTTTCCATTTTCACACCACAGCAGTGATTTAGAGCAATCACCTTCAGAAGTGGCCCAATTACTAATGTTGGCAGACTAGATGTTCAGGAATCCACACGGACTTGATTTTAGAAACATTTGCTCAGGGAATTAGATATAGTTTTAGTTAAAAGTGAAAGATGTATTCAAAATGCAAAGGAACCCAAGTATAGCTAAATTTACTAGTTTTTTTTTTTTTTGGCAAGGCAATCGGGATTAAATGACTTGCCCAGGGTCACACAGCTAGTAAGCGTTAAATGTTTGAGACTGGATTTAAACTCAGGTCCTCTTGACTCCAGGGCCAGTGCTCTATCCACTGTGCCACTCAACCTGCCTCTAGATTTACTCTTAGCAGTTACATAGTTTTGATAGTTTTATGGATTGTGGGATTGGAACTAACTGATTGCTCTTGTTTGACCTCAGTACATAATCCAACAACACCACCACCATCTCCAAAGACTCCGCGGCCATCTCCAGAAGCACAAACCATCAAATCAACAACTAAACGTTCCCCGAAAACTCCCAAGAAGAGGACCCCTGACAAAGTGGTAGAATCAGAGGAAATAACAGAAGGTAGGAAGAAGATGACTGTGACCAAAGGAAGTTTTCCTAAGTGAATATATTACATATGCAGATGGCAGACTGGTGCTAGCATTTTATCATGGGGCTGTGAAAAGTTTGAAACATTCAGATACATAAAAGACTAGTTAAATTGTCTGAAAAAATAACTACTTATATAGCATTTAAGGTTTGCAAGGCATTTTACAAATATCTCATTTAATCCTTACGAAAATCTTATGAGGTAGGTATTATTCCCATTTTACAGAAGAGGAAACTGGGGCAGACAGCAGTCTTGACTTGCTCAGGGTCAACACAGCTCTTCAGTGTCTGAAGCAGGACTCAGCTCTAGCACTCTAGCCACTGAGCCGGCTAGCTGCCTCCACTTAAAATAGACAATTTAAAACAAAGTTGGCATTCTTTAAAGTGCAGGTAAGGCAGAAGCATAACTGTTGATCTCTCTTTGATTTCCCAAACCCAAGAATGAAAATAGGTATAAATCACTATAATCTTAAAAGCTCCACTCAGGCCTGCCCTGAGTCTGGCTTCTAAGAAAGTTGTACTTTTAAAGAGTACTGGCAAAGCTGGGATGTGGGAGAGAAATTGGTCCAACCAATATCATTTGGGTGCTCTTCTTTCATGACTCTGAAATACATCCTGTCACGTGCAAGGGAATGATGATGCCCTCTACTCAATTTTATTCAGGAAATAGACATTTTCTGATCAATACAAAGTCCGACTCCATTCTTGTTTTATTTGAACTAGATGGACTACTGTGGAAAAGTTACAGTTCACACAATCCACTTCTTTATTTGATTACAGAACATTCTGTTTCTGAAAATCAGGAATCCTCCTCTTCCTCTTCTTCTTCCTCTTCAACTGTTCGGAAAACCAAGTCTTCCAAAAATTCAGCTGCTAATACAGTACCCAAGAAGAAACCCAAAGGTTTGAGCATTGATACAGATCAAATGCTATATCAATGCTAAATTAAGATTTTATAACGTGAAAATATTGGGCGGAGGCAGTAATATTTGGTGATTTATTTTTTTAAAATTGGGAAAGGGGCAATAACCATGTAAATACTGTTTCAGAAAATACAGAATGAAGATTTCTAGAAGTTTTCTTATACTTTAAAATATAGTATGTTTGAATAAAATTAGAGAATATTAGGCCAAGATGAGGATCCTATAAGGAAACAAATAACTAACCTCTTGTAGGAAACTGACAAAAACAATGAATTTTCTAATCCAATTCAACCAATTCTTAATGTTTACTATGTAGAAGGCATTGGAGATACAAGAACAAAATAAATAAAACAAATGCCCTGTCCTCAGGGCACTTATATTATTACACACATATATAAATACATATGTACACATTTTTTAGCTATTAAAATTTAAAACATCACTAAATCTTTCAGAATACTGTGTATATGTATACATACACATATACACATATGTATATACATATATGGATTGCCTATATATGTGAATATACACACATGTGTGCACACATATACACAGTTATATCCTAATTATTATGAATAATGAATCGCATGAAGTGGTTATCTGTATTCAAATTTGCACTATTTGCAGTTATAATTCTGTAAAATGTGGTAATGGCTCCAACCCAATGGAAATATGGAAATCTACAATGTGAATTCAAATAATGCAATGACTTGAAGAGATTCATTATTTGCACTAATTGGGACTTGGGTGTGTGTGTGTGTGTGTGTGTACGTGCTTGTATAATTGGAGAGAGGAGAGAGCATAAACAACTAGGGAGAGCAGGTTCAGGAAAGGATCCTTTAGGAGGTGGCACATGTTCAGAGCCTTCCAGAAAGCTGGGGAGGGATTCTAAGGGACAGAAGCGTGGAGGGAATAAACTCCAGCCTATACAAAGACATGGAGGCTGGAGAAAAGAATGCTGTATTCCATTAACAGCAGATAGGCTAATTTGGATGGAACATAAAGTTCATGAAGGGGAATAATATGAAATAAACTCAAAAAGGCATCCTGGAGCCAGTTTTTTAAGACCTTTAAATGCCAAGTTGAAGATTTTGTATTTTGTCCTCAAGGTGAGAGGGAAGGTTTTTGTGATGGGGAGTGACATGGTCAGATTTTGCTCTCAGAAGAATTTTTTTTTGACAGTGGTGTAGTGGAGTAGAGGAGAGAGTGGTAATCAGGAGTCCAGCTAGGAGGCTGTTTGCAAGAGTCTAGGAAAGAAGTGATAAGTACCTGAACCAGGGTTATGAGTGAAGGAAAAGGATATGGATGCAAGACATGTTGTAGAAATAGAATTGACAATACTCAGCAACTAACTGGGCACCAGGGGTAGGAGGGATGAGGAGAGGGAGAGTTATTCTTACTGACTCTCAAACTCTCTCCTTTCTTCCAACCCCCAAACCTCACCTACCATTCCTCACTCTATTTAATCCCCTCACTCTTTTCTCTGATGCTAATATACACCTCTCTTCCTAGTCAGTGACTTTGCTCAAGGGATTTATTCTCTCCTATCTGATGCTCTTGGACTCCATGGTCTCACTGAGTTCCGTATTGACGATAGGGGTCTCACATCTATTCCATATTTACCTTGGGGGTATTTCCTATATCACCTGAAGTTATAAACATCTTGCAAAAAAACTAATGGGGGATACACATTTTTTGTTTGTTTGTTTGTTTTACTGCAGAAGCCCACATTGGCCTCATTATGTGTGAGAAGAGTAGGTAAAGAAAGGATAACAGCTCATAGGCATATATGTATAAGAAGAAAGAGCTGAGACAATAATGTTTCTTGAGAAAATGGATAAAGGAATTGGGATTATAGGATGAAGAAGACTGAGAGAGCAGATGAGAGGAGAAATGAAGAGAAGAAACATTTGGGAATGGAGAGTATGATGGGCATGCCCATTTTCCCTGAAATTCCATAAGTTGCCTCTCATTGTATAACAAGAATATGTTATGTTTTCATAACACTTCTTACCCTTTACATTCTTCTCTCTATTGATACAGATGATAGCATTGTGAGGCAGGGAGTACAGGTAATTAGTTACATCATCATTTTACTTGTACAGAAACTAAGGCCCAAAGAAGTTACGTGACTTGACCAGAGTAACACAACTAGTGAGAGGAAGGACCTGTATGTGAAAGCAATGCAAAGACCATTCAACAAATAACTTGAGATGTACATTTTTCCATAGCTAAAGATTCAAAGAAGAAGAGAACCCCCAAAGACAAGCCTACTCCAGCACCTCCAGCTGTAGATGATGCAGGAAGTGGATTAGACAATGGGCCTTTCAAGCCCACTGCTGCTCCTGAAGCTACTGTTCCTACCTTCCAGCCCAATAAAGTCACCACAAGACTCAAAATGACAACAGCAGCACCGCCAGTAACTTCTAAGGAGAGTAATAAGGTCACACCTAAGAAAACTAAAACAACTGAAAAGGAGACATCAACAGCTGCTAAAGAGACATCAGTTGTAACAAAAGAGGAGACTAGTGCAGATAAACAGATCTCAACTACAGCTAAAGAGACAACTACTTCAGCAAAAGAAACACTGACTACAGAGACAATGACAGCTGCTAAAGACCCTAAGCCCACACCTAAGGACCCTGAGCCTACACCCAAAGACCCCAAGCCTACACCCGAGGACCCTAAGCCCACACCAAAAGACCCCAAGCCTACACCCGAGGACCCTAAGCCCACACCCAAAGACCCCAA